CCTCCACCAGATACAGAGGTTCTATAATCAGTTGCAAATCAAAGCACTAACTTCAGTTGGCAGGACAGTTTTCTACATTTGAGAATAAACCTTACAATGGAAACTCGTGTTTAGGCTAAGCTTAGAGTTGTGGTATAAATGTAGTATACACCAAACACGGGTCTTACTCTCGAAGATCACAGTTAAATCTTGCCCTTTTTAATATAACCACCTTGTGACAGTGGGAAAACCCTGGTCCAGAAAGTGAAAACAGCGATGCAAAGAATCATGCGTGCAGGACCTTCCCCAGAGCCCTTCACAAAGCAACTTGTAGTCCCATGTTCCATGCCCTTTCCAAACAGGGCAGTTTCCAAAAGCTAGACCAGGTTCTCTGACTTGCTGTCTTCAAAATCCATGAAGTGAGCCTTGGAATGGACTCTTCGGGCACTACAGACCGAAAATAGCCTTTAGAAAGCTCTTCCTTTGTATCAGTTCAATCTACTCTGTGAAACTCTGGCCAGATAAAGTGCTGGATATTTCCCTGGACACAGGAGCCAAGGAAGAGCGAGCAGCAGTATTTGTGGAGAAACATACTGTCATTTCTATGGGAAATCGTATCTAAATGGAAAAAACAAAACACAACAAAAAACCCTGATTTCTTTTTGTGTTTACCATTTCTCCTTGCACCAAGTGCACACTGCATAACACACACACATGCACACACACATACACACACGCACACACCCCGTTAATTAGATTGATATTTAAATTAACATTCATATTAGTTCTAGGAAAACAACAGAGGGTATGTTGAAGAACACCTGTCTGATATTATTAATAATAAAAATAGCTCACTGAAATTCTTTCTTTTGATATAGTCCCTATACTTCATGTGCCACGGTGCCTTACCCTCAGCAAATGTCTCCTTTATTAAGGAGATGCAATTGAATTGCAATTATAGATGCAATTGAAACCAGTTAAGATGGTTAGAAGTTACAAACGACCTTTCTCTACTTACACGTATTGTCTTGTTTGAGTCTTCAGAGTGTACTCAAATTATTTGTCTTTACCGTTTTCAGAAATGTTAAGACTGCTATACTTGGAAGAGTGAGAGAAGTTATTTCTATTCTATCTATGCTGCTGACCTAATCATTTCAGAAAACACAATTTTCCTCATTAACCTCTCCATATAAGGTCTTACAAAGAAATGACAACAGGGAGATACCAAGGAATTAATTTTAAGTTTTGTGGAAGTCAAATAAATTTGATGTCACATACACTTACAAGCAAACGGAGTCATGGTGGCACCTTTACTCCTACCCATCAATTTTCCACCCTACCCTGTAGGTATTTCTACTGGTCTGTAAGGCTAAGAAAAGTACATCAGTCTTGAATTCAGTCCCCAAACGGAATGCTTGTCTCTGGTGCAAACACTGCCAAACTCCCTGCAAGCTCAAGGAAACACAAGGTGAATGCTTCATTTATCTTATAAAATGCCACACGTGTATAGATTGTGAGCAATGATGATCTTATCATTGTCCATTAGGAAAAACATAACATTAAGAGTTTAAAGGAAATTATGGAGCTTTAAAAATGTGTATTTGCCAATTACAAACCAGAAGCTAAAATGGTGAATATATAAATATTAAATGTAAATAAGTATAATAAATATAAATACATAAATACTTCACCTACTACTTTACTCATATCTGAGACCAATTATTGCATCTTTAAATTTTTATTTATATGTTTATATACGTATAAACATACAAATATTTTACCTACTACTTTACTCCTATCTGAAACCAATTATTGGATATTTATTTATTTATTTATTTATTTATCTTCAATGATTGGATCTTTAAATTTTCATTGTAAAAGTTGAGGCAGGTAAAAAAATAACATAAAGTAATACAAAGCAAAAATGTCTGGCTCAAGAATAAAATAAGAGTAATGTGAATTATTTGGTAGCAATTATCATCAAAGACAAACATTTTGTTGACTTCTCTGAACATTTTTCCTCATTTTGTTTTGCCTACTTATTTTTCTCTAATTCTTTCTGATTTTGTTGCCTTTTCCTCCTTATTCCTTTTACTCTATGCTTCTGTTCCTCTCTAGAAATTCAGTTTAGGTCATGGATGTCCTAATAGGCATGCAGTAAGTAAATAAGACTTCTTTTGAACAGTTTTATACAAGACTGATGGAATTGTTGGTGTTCTAGAAAATATCAAAGAAATAAACATTCTTCGTTTCAGAAGCTTTACATAGGAAATCTAGTGCAGAAAATCAAAGTACTTTTTGAAGGGTTTGCATTAGTTACCTATTCGAAGTGACAAATTACCCTAAATTTAGCAGCTTAAAACCATAGACATTCATTATTTCACAGGCTCAGCAGTCAGAAATTCAAGAGAGCTAAGCTGGGTACTTCTTACTGAGTGTTTCATAAGAGGCACTCAAGTTGTGACCTTGGCATGTATGACCTTTATTATGTTGGGGGTGCATTCCCACTGTACCTGTTTTGTTGAGAGATTTTATCATAAATGAATGTTGCATTCTGTCAGATGCTTTTTTTGCATCTTTTGAGATAATCCTAGGATTTTTATCATTCATTTTGTTATTGTGGTGTATCACATTGACTGATTTGTGGATGTTGAACCATCCTCACGTTCCTGGATAAATCCCGTTTGATCGTTGTGAACGATACTTTTAAGGTATTGTTGAATTTAGTTTGCTAATATTTTCTTGAGGATTTTTGCATCTATGTTCATCAGGGATATTTGGGCCCCCAATTTTCTTTTCTTGTGGCATCCTTGTCTAGTTTTGGTATCAGGGTTATGCTGGCATCATAAAATGGGTTTACAAGAATTCCTTCTATTTTTTGGAAAAATTTGAGAAGGATAAGTATTAATTTTTCTAAATGTTTGGTAGAATTCAACAGTAGAGCTTTCACCTGGACTTTTGTTTATTGGGAGGTTTTGAATTACTGATTCAATCTCCCTACTAGTAATTGCTCTGTTCAGATTTCTTATTTCTTCATGATTCTAGGAATTGATACATGTTTTCTAAGTTGTCCAATTTGTTGGCCTATCAGTGTTCTTAGTAATCTCTTATTATCCTCTACATTTCTGTGGTATCAGTTGTAATATCTCCTTTTTCATTTCTGATTTAATTTATTGAGCTCTCTCTTTTTTTTTCTTGGTGAGCCTAGCTAAGGGCTTGTCAATTCTGTTTATCTCTTCAAAGAAACAGCTCTTAGTTTCACTGACCTTTTCTTTTGTCTTTTTCGTATCTATTTCATTTATTTCTGCTTTAATCTTTGTTATTTCCTTCCTTCTACTAACTTTGGGCTTCATTTGTTCTTATTTTAGTTCTTTCAGGTATAAAGTTAGGTTGTTTATTTGAGACTCTTTTTTCTTGAGGTAGGCATTTCGGAGTATGATCTTCTTTCTTAGAATCTCTTTTTCTACAACCCATAAATTTTGATATGTTATATTTCCACTTTTAGTCATTTTAAATCAAATAGAGTTACACCTTTTTCCCCAAAACACTTAATTTTAGGGGATCCCAGGCAATCTGCCTAATGGAATGTTTCTTATTCTATATTTATATATTGTTTCCACATTGTATTTAGTGTTTCCACAGTGTCTATATGCTCTGTATTTCTGTAAATTGGAAATTAAATCTAGAGCTTTGGTTAGTTAGCCAGCATATACTACATCATTAGTTTTTGATGTAGTGGTCACCTTTCAATTAAACATTTTTGCAAGAACACTTCATATATTGTATAATATATACAGATAGATATTTAGATATAGAGATAGATAGATAGATAGATAGATAGATAGATAGATAGATAGATAGATAGATAGATAGATAGAATAACATCAGAAACACACAATGACTGGTTTTCCTATTATCTTTTTAGGACTATTTGACATGGAGCCTCAGTAAGTCTTAGCAACTGTTCTAGGTATGAAGAATAGAAAGAACAAGGCATGGGTGCCTGGGTGGCTCAGTTGGTTAAGCGACTGCCTTCGGCTCAGGTCATGATCCTGGAGTCCCGGGATCGAGTCCCGAATCGGGCCCCCTGCTCGGCGGGGAGTCTGCTTCTCCCTCTGACCCTCCCCCCTCTCATGCGCTCTCTCTAATAAATAAATAAATAAATCTTAAAAAAAAAAAAAAAAAGAGAAAGAACAAGGCAGGCAAAGCCCCTGCTCTCACAAAACTCTCAGTGAAGTGGAAGGAGGTAGAAAATATGCAAACAAGATAATTTTAAATATTGTTAAGTGAATAAAGATAGTACACTATGATGATAATTATGGCAGTTTTGTAGCAGTTCTATCACCATGGTTATTATAATTTTAATCACATATATAAGCAATACATAAGCTTATTGTAAAATTCTGTTATGCAAACTTTTAATATAAGCATTAAGTAAGCAATATAATGACATTTCAAGTCTCGCCATGATTAAAAAAAAAAACCCTCAAACATTTAAGATAAAATTTGTTAAATATTCAAGTATACTATTAGGAAAGCATGTAAAAAAGATGAGTGGCTATTGGTATGTAGTTTATATTAAATTTTGCAGGAAAGCAGTTTCATAAGTATATGATTTATACATAGATTGTATTTGCTCTGAAAGGTAGGTGCTAAAGGTTATGATAAAGTCATCTATATGACGTAGTTATTTCCTCCTCCTGATCTGTTTTAATTTTACTTCTCCTTTGATTTAAGTGCAGTTAATAGTTGATTTTAACTTGGAGAATAATTACTACAGATTTTAACTTGGAGAATAATTACTACAGAAAAAAATGTATCAATTCCTAGAATCATGAAGAAATAAGAAATCTGAACAGAGCAATTACTAGTAGGGAGATTGAATCAGTAATTCAAAACCTCCCAATAAACAAAAGTCCAGGTGAAAGCTCTACTGTTGAATTCTACCAAACATTTAGAAAAATTAATAGGTACCTGAATCTCTCCAGTTTTGAAAGACAAACTTTTAGGCTTCTATCTAGAGAAAGCGGGCCTCAGAATTCTTGCACGGGGAGTTGCGCGCGGGAAGCCACGTAGGGCAGAGAAGCCAGGAGGGCCCGGCGATGGTGGTGGGCCTCCCGGGGCCTGGGGCAGCAGAGGGGGCCGCCGAGGAGCGCCGCGTCAAGGCCTCCAGCCTGCCCTTCAGCGTGGAGGCGCCCAGGTCGGACAAGAAGCCGCCCAAAGAGGCGTCCCCACTGCCAGCCCCAAGCGCCTCCGCCAGGGCCACCCTGCGGCCACGGCTACTGCCTGGACACGGCGCCCGAGAAGCTCACAGCCCCGGGCCGCCGGTCGAGCCCTTCGAGACCGTCTCGGTCAAGTCGGAAAACTCCGAAGACGGAGCCGCTTGGATGCAGGAAGCCAGCAGACACTCGCCGCCGCCAGGACACATGAGCCCCACCGCCTGCACCCTGCCGAAGCACGAGACCAGTCGGAAGCCCAGGACGCCCTTCACCACGTCCCAGCTCCTGGCTCTGGAGCGCAAGTCCCGCCAGAAACAGCACCTCTCCATTGCAGAGCGTGCAGAGTTCTCCAGCTCTCCGAACCTCACACAGACCCAGGTCAAAATCTGGTTCCAGAACCGAAGGGCCGAGGGTTAAAGACTGCAGGAGGCAGAACTAGAAAAGCTGAAAATGGCTGCAAAACCTATGCTGCCCTCTGGCTTCAGCCTCCCTTTCCCCATCAACTCGCCCCTGCAAGCAGCATCCATATATGGAGCCTCCTACCCTTTCCATAGACCTGTGCTCCCCATCCCGCCCGTCGGACTCTATGCGACGCCAGTGGGATATGGCATGTACCATCTATCCTAAGGAAGACCAGCTCCATAGACTCCGTGGTGGATGTTTGTTTAAATGGGTCCACCCCTCCCTCTCCAAGAAGGCAGTACCAAGCCTGAGCTCCTGCTCTGCAAACCTTGCATGCGCCACCCTAAGCGGCTAGGCCCACAGGGCCACAGACGTAGTTCGAATTTGTTCTTTAGGCTGGAGGCACCAAGCCCCATTTTCTTGGTGTGATCTTCTAGATGCCCCCTCCTCCTTTCACAAAGATTGGCTCTGATGGTTTTTCTATATATATAATAAAATATAATGACATTTTTATACAGCAGACATAAAAATTCAGATTATTTTGAAAGGCAAAATTTATATGCACATATGTATACTTTTTTCTATATATCACCTTCCTAAAAGAGACTGCTTAAGTCCATTTGTTTTTTCTTATAGGAGAGACCAATTATTTGCTAAAATTGCTGACATTTGGTGATTTTGATGGGATGATTGACTTTTGCTTATGGAAAACAAAGGTTAGAATTAGGCACGATGCATAGGAAGTAGATATGGAGAGATTCCTCAAAATGACGAGGACACATCATGTTTTTGCATTTTTACATGCATTTAAAACTTATTAGATACTACCATATTTGGCCTTATATTTTTCCCCCGTCCACATTGTTACAGAGTGTTAAAGTTTTAATTTTTTTTTTTTTTTTTTTTGGTAAGATCAAGAAAAGGGGGATGGGAAGAATCCTGAGAATGCCTTGGGGTAAGGTGGGACTTGGAAGTACTTCCTAATTCCTCTCAAGGCTGTTTCTTAACTCCATTTCAGACAATTGGAGAGTAAAAAGTTAAAGCATGTCAGGGGAATTGATGGTTTCTGTGAAATACTAGGTACAAGTCAGTCCTCACACATTGCAAAGGTGATTGGGGGGCGGGGAGTGTAATTAATTCTCTGCTTAAAAAATATATATATATACTGTAACCATTACCTATATGCTAAATATTCTTGAACAATGAATAGATCCAGAAAGAAAAAAAAATCATGCTTTCTCTGTGTGTGTACCTACCGTATGTGCTAAACTTACTAGAAAAATTTATATACTTTTTAACATGCTGTGGGCAGAGGGTAAAGCCATGTTTTGACTTGCTAAAAATGGTGTTGTCAAACAGCCCATTTAGCTCCCTGGTACTTCATCTTTCTCTCCATCTCCCCCCCCCCCCACCACCCAGTATACTTTTATCCCTTTGAAAGGGTGCCTTGTATAATTTTATATATTTTATTGAAGAGTTATTTCTTATCTATTCTGAATTAAATTAAACGTTTGTTTTATTGCAGTAAAAAAAAAAAAAAAAAGAATTCTTATATCATGAGTAACTGAACACCTCTGATTAGGAGTCACGAGCCAGGAGGGGTGAGGATTAAATAAGAAGTCCAGGGTGTCTCACTTTCTTCCCCAAGTCCAGGTGGGCCTCAGAAAAGTAAGAACGTAACTGTGGGTGAAGTGTCATAAATTAAAGGAACCTCTTACTCTCTTTCTTGAGTCTTAGGGTCCCTCTTCCCTGTGCACCTGCTCTATGACATCCTCTTACTTTAGACATATTTTTCTCTGTGGGTCAGGTAAAACAAATTTAATGTATTATGAGAGTTTTCTCTATGCCCCGCTTCTCATGTCCAGCTCCAACCCACGAAGACAGATACGCTTCTTCCAAACTTGTAGCTTACAGAGCTTTCCTTGTGTTTATTGAAACAAGGAAGAAAAAAGATTTGATAAAGTCTTGAGAATTAGAGCATTTTATATGAATGATGCTGCATAGGGAAGAATTAATAATGGAGCTACAGCCATGTGGCACAGAATCATCTTGGAAAATGATGGAGGGAGAGGGAGGATTGATTTGTAGCTATAGACATGATCAGTGTCACTTTGGGAAGAGAGTGTGGAAATGAGGTGATTAGAAAGTCTCTAAATTTCTTACGTAGTAAAATCCTTTTCCCCACCAGGCACCCACAAGGATGTGTATTAAAGTATTACATTGGTTTTCTTTGCTTTGGGGATTGGATTTGTAATATTTTTATTTTAGAGTGACACTATGCTGAGTCTAGTCCCAATTTGGCCTTGTTTATATCCAGGAAATAGTTGCTTCCCTCTGCAAATGACAAAAAAACAGCTACGTCTTCTCCCAGTTTAATCATCCAAAAAATTAATAACAAAAGTCATTTTTTGTAGTCCCTATTCCTAAGAAAGACTATTGTTTGGCCCATTTTTGTTAGTTGACTCTTCTTAGCATCATTACCTGTTATATTGGTGTTGGGGAACTGTGAGTAAGGTGCAGAAAAAGGAGGGAGAAATATTTACTAGTATGATATTACTAAAAGGGCTTACTTATTTGGGTGGGTGGGAGCCCAGTTCTTAAAGATCTTCTATGATGCCCCTACAACTTACTATTTTTTTCAGCTCTGTCATATTGTTTGCTTAGGTAGTATTTCCCATCACTTTCTCAGAATTCTTTATTATCTGCAAAACAAGTGCTGGAAATGATTAGATTTCAACCTTGTGGATGTTTTTCCATATAATACTTGATAGTCTTTCTTTCTACTTCTTTTTACTTCTAGTTGTTTCTTATTCAATTACACCACACTGCCCAGATATTAAAGTATCATTTTCATTTTCCTTTAGTCAGTACTCATTTCAAAACCCTTAATGATTCTCTGCCCATTACCATAAAATCATCAAGATTTGTCAGTGAAGTCCTGGCCTACTTAGACCAGATTAAACCCTCACTCTGGGCTAGATTCATCCTATGCCCCAGACACATTGTATTTCATGTTTTATAGCTTCCAGTTCAACCTCACAGTTTTCAAAGATTTCTACATACAAAAAATGAAACTAAAGTGTTTTTTTTGTTGTTGTTTTTAACTAAAAAAGACCTCCGAGTAATCTAAGCCAGCCTCTTTCATTTTTCCTACAAAGAAACATTAGACCACAGTGTTTAATTGGCTACCCTAAGATCCCATGGGATGAGAATATAAGTTTTCTGATTCTCAAGTAACCACATCACAAGCACGCAGCACCAGTAATCCTCGTCTCCTCTTTTTGTTCTCAGCTCATGTTAGGCAGCTCATCTATTTATAACTTATGGGGGGAAAAAGACAAGGTAAAATTAAGTCAGAACAACTGCATGGACTCTTGATTTCATATTATGTTTAGATGACAGATATCAAGAAAAGCAGGCTATGTCTCAAATCCCATCTGCCCTTGTGGCACAGAAGAAGACCTCGCTGAAAAGTGAGGATTTTGATATCATACAAGACCAGAGTTGAAAAGAATGAGGTAAAAGTGTTCATAGAATAAGAACCAAAATGTCCACACCAGCAAAGAAGCAACAAAGTGTTACAAAGCATAAAAATATCAAAATACAACATTAATTAACAAATGATCTTAACCAAAATCCTTTGAAGATTCCACAAAATGCTAATAAACTTGGACAAAACAGACACAATAATTGGGACTTGCACCAATGACATAAACATCTTGCTTATTCAAAGCAGTGTAAAAAGTTTTTTTTTTTTAAGATTTTATTTATTTATTCATGACAGACGGAGAGAGAGAGAGAGAAAGAGAGGCAGAGGGAGAAGCAGGCTCCCAAGGAGCAGGGAGCCCGATGTGGGACTCGATCCCAGGACCCTGAGATCATGACCTGAGCCAAAGGCAGACACTCAACCATCTGAGCCACCCAGGAGCCCTGCAGTGTAAAAAGTTTTAAGGAATAAATGATGTAGCCTATACCAAGTGAATGGGCAAATTAAGCCCAACATTCTGAAAATGCCAGATAAAAGGGTTTTGGCTATGTTGTTAAAATGATACAGCATGCAGCACAAGGGAAAACATCACCTACTAGATTTAGTGTTCATTAGGGGCTATGTAGAAGCAGGTACTCATGAGAGATCATCCTTTTAGAGAATTGTTTTTATTCATTGTATCAAGAATGGATCACTCATATGAGAGAGTGAGAAGAAATTAGACCAAAGAGGAAGTTTGGGTAAAGATGATAAATTACTTGTCTATCAGGTTATTATATCTTAATTCTTAATTAGACGCTGGCAAGATACTTAGTTCCACTGAGCCTCATTCATTAGTATATAAAATAGAAAAAAAATCAGACATGGTTTTCAGAGTTTTAAGGAGAGGTTTAGGTATAATATGTATAAGAAAAGACTCATATTATGTGGCATAAATAATAATAATAAGTATTATTTGTAAAAAATATAGGACCACAAAAACTTTTTCTGATTTTAGTAGTAAATTTAGTATTTTTAAGAATTCCATTTTTGTTGAACATGGTAGAGAAAAAGTATTCTCTCTCCTATGGTACACAAAATGACCCCCCAAAATTCAAGTTTTCAAGAAGAAAAATATCAGTTCATCACAATCCTGACCAGAGTCTATGGAGAATAACAGTCAAATACAATACAACTTTGGCCAAATTGAAAGAAATCCCTGAAAGGCAAGACAGTCCTCTCCAAATCTGTAAGAAGATACAAATTAGGTACCAGAGCTCTAACTGATTAAACTAATAGTTCTTTACTTAAAATGGGGGAGTTCAAAGTCCAAGTTGGTCATGAGACTTCAACTGAAATCTATTACACACCAAAGAGTGGCAGGCAAGATAAAATTTAAAAAGAAGGTGAGTGGTCATACACTCTTTACAATAAGCAGTAGACAAATTTCTAGATAAAAAGAGAAGGAGCAAGAAAAACCTCAGATAGGCAGAAGCCATCCAAGGTTAGGTTACATAATATAATTAATAATAATAATTTACTACAAGAAAAATCCACTAGACAAAGGATTTCTCTGTGTGCCTTCTGTGCTCTGTGGATGGAAGGGACACATGGATTACAGGGGTGACATGCCCCCAAGAAAGAGGTCAAAGATTTCCTGGATATGATACCAAAAGCACAGGCGGCAAAAGTAAAAATACACAAGTGGAATTGCATCAAACTAAAAAGCTTCTGCACAACAAAGGAAACAATCAACAAA